TGTTGCTGCTGCTGCTGCTGCTTCTGCTTCTGCTGCTGCTGTTGTTGTTGTTGTTGCTGTTGATGTTGTTTCTGTTGTTGTCGTCGTCGTCGTCGTCGTTGTTGTTGCTGTTGTTGTTGCTGCTTCTGCTGCTGTTGTCAATGCATAAGTATTTGTTCCAACGACCCCAAACTGTAACAAGAAAATTACTGTTTCTCTACTTTCTACCTTTCTGCCCCCAGCCCCATGGACCTGTCCGGGCGATCCCACCGTATCTCTTACGCATGCGCCTTCGGGTCAACAGTCTACTTGATAGTTGCATGCATCCTCGACAGCTTCCGGGCCATTGAGTTTGACGGCCCATTTTTTTTAAAAAGTGAGTACGTGTTGTGAGTGCGGTTGGATTTGATTCCAGTTTACATCCTTTTCAGAACAGACATGGGCTAAACCAGACATGCCTATATTATCACACGTTCAATTAAAACTGACAGTTAGTTGTCCGTCCTCTTTGGGATAAGAAAATGACACTGACTGAAGTGTCTTTCTGCCTTTCCCAAAGGGAGGATATTAACATGTTCTTATGCACAGTAGAATTGTAAATGGGCTAATTTAAGCTCTGTTGACATCCACCCATTGGCGCTCATATAACCTTATGCAGTTGCGAGCGCCGTAAAAACCTTATTGTGGTATTACCTCGTGTCCTCATTCTTATTAAGAGTGTGATCTTCATCATCATCTGGTGCCTTTACTTCCCTCTGTCTTGCGTTGCAGCAATAGTGACTGTTGTTCTTGCTGTTCCCAGCCATGTTGTCAACTTTTCCTGTATCATTTCCCTCTGTCTGCCTCTGCCTCTCTTTCCATCAAACGTGCCTGTTGTTACAATATTCTCCAATGCTTCTTTCCGCATTGTGTGTCCAGTGAAATTTGCCTGTCGCTTTTGTATATTCGTCAAAAGTTGTCGTCTGCAATTTGCTTCAACCAAGGCTTCTTCATTTGTTTTTATAGCTGTCCATGGGGCACCCAGCATACGTTTTATGAACCACAACTCTGTCGCCCCAGTTGTATGATATGTTACTTAATCTTAGGTCAAGGAACCTGTTGTACATACCTTTTTTTAAAATCGAATCCCTTTTTGTCTTGTTTTGTTCTCCTGTCACCAAATCTACGGGTGGGGGTGGGTGTCCTTGGTATTGTCTTCTTCCTGTATTCCTTTCCAGCACGCTTTTTTTCTATTGGCTCGACTTTAAAAAACTGTAACGGCATCGACTTTTCACCAGACACAGTTGAAAAGTAACTTATCCCTCCACCTTTAATCTTACTGAAGTAAAGAAAATCACCAAAGCATCTTTTTTAAAACGTGTCAAAGCATCAACAAAAAGCCGCCAACTCCGCTAATCCATCTACTGACCCCCCATGTATTCCTCGGACTGCTATATCTGTGTTCACTCTTTTACTGACTCACCATGTATCACCCAGACGCGATCCTGCTCATATCTGTGCTCATCTACTGACCCACCATGTATTCCCCAGACTTGATCCTGATCATATCTGTGCTCATCTACTGACCCACCATGTATTCCCCAGACTTGATCCTGATCATATCTGTGCTCATCTT